AATAGAGTAGATTTCCGGCAACATTCCAGTGAAAGTTGGCTATTGGCACTGGATGGGCAACATTCAAGTCAAAGTGGTCTTTTGGTATTAATAGAGTAGATTTTCCGGCAACAGTCCAGTGAAAGTGGGATTTTCTCTGGGTAGTTTCTTTGTCACCCCCCTCCCCATATATAAAATCTAAAACGATGGCATTACATCCATAGATCTCCGCCATATGGTTGTTTATTCGACTTACTGCAACGCGCGCCTGCTTATGTATGCCTCTTCTGCTCGTCTGGACATTTTTTAAATCTCTAAGCATATCATGTATCACGAGCGAGGCGAATGGGAATTGCATAATTTCCGAGCACCCCAGGTTTTTAACACCCACGTAGCTGCTAAGTTATTCCATTCCATCATACCAAAGAAACTTGGAAAGATTGAAGTTTCGCACAATTGTCACACCAGTGTGAGTTTAATGAGATTCAAATAAATTTAGAATATTACGTGCGACTAACAAGTTCCAGTCAGAAAAACGAAAAACATAATTCGTATCCATAGGCATAGTGCTTAAATCATTTGCATTGAATAGAAAAATAAGTAGAATTGATCAGTCTTATAGAACTTTAATTTAGTATAAAGTTAATTTAAAACGCTATTGTTTGTTTGTTTGGAAGCAAAGCCACTTTGGGCTATCTGCTGTGTGTGTACACCGCAGGGAATCGAACCTCGAGTTTTAACGTTGTAAATCCGTAGACTTACATATGGTTTGGCTAAGCGGTATGTCTTTTAACAGGCGAATCACATTACATATTGCAGTCAGATACGAGACGTGTATGCATTTGGAAAACGATTTGGGTCAAATCCAATCCCAGTTCACGAAGGGAAGGCATGCACACGGCGATGACAAAATACTGCCTAGGCAGGGATCAATACTGAAATTCAGAGAAGTATTTCACGCCACCCGAAAGTGAGATGTGGTATTCCAGGCACTATTTAGTGCCTCTACTACACATATCTGATTATTCTCACTAAATGGCTATAATGACGTCACGTTACCCATATTTTGTTGTTGAAGCTGAATATTGATAACACTACTGATCTTCCTATGAACGATACTAGATACAGTAATGTAGTCTTATAAGTATTAAGGTTGCCACATGCAGTTGCAGTTGGTCAGAAGGTTCTTTTGATGGATGATAAATCGCATTCCGTCTCACCGTGCTCAACCAATTAACAACTTCTTGGAAGAAAAGGGTATCAAGCGAATGGACCGGCCAGCACCTTTACCTGCTGCAAGTCTGACTAGACATATATATATATATGGAATATTCTGGAAAGATGCTTGACTGCACGTTGATTCACACTCAAACAGTTTTGATGGACTGAAAGTAGCTCTAATGAAAAAATGACCCACATATCTCTGGCAGCACAGCGATTCACTCATCTTAAGTTTGCCACGTTGCTGTAAGATTTGCATTGCTATACGAGACGATATATGACCTATGAACAAGCATTTACTGGTAATATATTGGAGTGCAAAGTCTGTAATACCAAATCCGCATTTTTATAACAGATCTCTTGATTACTCACCTGACGGTGGTAAGTTTACGGATTTACAGCGCTAATAGAATATAGAGAACTTCGATTATACCTTGACTGTTTTCAGCAATGTACCAGTTATGATATTTATAACAGATCTCTTGATTACTCACCTGACGTTTCCCGGTGGTAAGTTTACGGATTTACAGCGCTAATAGAATATAGAGAACTTCGATTATACCTTGACTGTTTTCAGCAATGTACCAGTTATGATATTTATTACTTGCAAAACGTGTTATAGTTTTTGGTCCCAACTTTACTCAAAAATTGCTTTGACTGATCTATAAATACACCGTTTTTACTAGTCAAATTAGGCTAAGAAGAGCATTTCTTATTGTAAAACAACAGCTCCAGTAACAAGCACCACGTGTAACAAGAATTTTCATTAAACTAATTTTTCTTAGCTAGTTAAAAATCTCGATACTTATCATCAACCAGTTGAAGTAAACATTATTATTATTTTTACATGGTATCTAAGTAGAGTTCCTATAAAGTAGATCTAACAGTAATGTAGGCGTGATATCACCAGTATGAAACTAAATTGAGCAATTGAGTTGAAAATAATAGTTCGCGGGATGAGCAGACATAAAGAGATGCTTTGATTTCCTGGCAAACAAATCAAGTGTTTGTTATGCCTGTACGTGTGCGATGATAACTACGATCACTCTGAATATGCTATAAATATAACCGAGCCCTAAACACAATTAAATCGGTTTACATACCACATTATGTTTGGCGTCTCATGCCCAGACTACAGATTCTTTACAAGCTATACATCTCTTTCTCTTTTACTCTTTTTTATATAAAATTTCTCCATGTCTGAAATAAAAAGATCGCATTACTTGGTATGCATAAAACACTAGGCTTAAATGATGAACATTAGCATAATGGGAAAGGTGTCGCTTCTCCGTGCAGAATTTCATTGTTAAGTTGTTTATGTATTACTCTGGCCTGAAAGTCGTTAATTCTTTTTATCTATCTAAGCACAAGAAAGAGAGACAATGATGTTAAGTTCGGCACGTCAGCACAGTTGTTGTGTGCTTAATGCATTATGGATGCTTCAACTTCGGAAAACAAAATGTGACGCCATTTGGGAGTTGTAACAGCTGTTACAAAGATTGCCACGTGATTTACTTTAATTTTCAGACACTATACGTTAATGTGTTTGCTATTTCACACAATTATATCTCCGTTAGGATTCTACTTTAACTTTAGAGAAAAACAACTTTCAAACAGAGATGTTAGTCGTGAATCTGTTGTTTAGTTTTAGGTTTGTTGGGACGTTTCACGTTTTGTCACCATTCACACTAAATTAGAAACTGTCAAGAAAGTCACAACAAATTAACCAGCAAAGTCAATTTAAGGCGATATATATATCTTTCAAATGAAACCGTTTTCTCAAGTCCTTCAGTATTATCTCAATAACAATACAAAAAAAAAAGAGAGAGAAAAGAAAAAGGGAGCCAATTTGATTGAATAACAACGTAGAATTAATTTTGATATAATATAACTTTGTTCAATGTTTGTCCTTAAATCAAACAATAATATTATTGTTTTTTGTGATTCTGGTTCATTTTGCAGCTTTTTTTGGTCAATTAAACCACGCATGTTTCACAAATTCTTAGAATATATTTTCACCTAATATGATAAAGTGAATTATTCCATTCAATATTTAATGCTCCCCCCAGTGTCACAGCAGTATGTCTGTGGACTTACAACGCTAGAAATCTGGTTTCAATGGGCAGAGCACAGATAGCCCATTGTGTAGCTTTGTGCTTAACTTCAAACAACAACAATATTTAATTTGATTTTAATAAGAATTGTGTGTGTATCTACATCTCATACGTCCACTAGTGGGTCAGCGGCAAGTTTACAGACTTAAAACTCTAAATTCCTGGGTTGGAGTCCCTGTGGTAGACAGAGCGTAGTTTTCCTACTATGTAGCATTGCACTAAAACCAAATAAACAAAGCATCTTATACCCCATACGTTTACCCTCTCACTAGTGGGAACGGTATAACGAAAGATAGAAAGAACATTTTTAACAGTATTTCTTCCGCTCATTACGTTAAGGTATTCCTGGACGATGCTTTTACACACCCTCGTCTAAGTTCATCACGTATAGCGAAATATATTCGGGTTTATCGATCCCTTGGATTGTTTGTTTGTTGTGAATTTCGCGCAAAGCTACACGAGGGCTATCTGCGCTAGCCGTCCCTAATTTAGCAGTGTAAGACTAGAGGGAAGGCAGCTAGTCATCACCACCCACCGCCAACTCCTGGGTTACTCTTTTACCAACAAATAGTGGGATTGACCGTCACATTATAACACCCCCACGGCTGAAAGGGCGAGCATGTTTGGTGTGACGGGGATTCGAACCCGCGACCCTCATATTACGAGTCGAGCGCCTTAACCACCTGGCCATGCGATCCCTTGGAGATTTTCAATCTATAATATTTCCACATCATGAATCCAGCACTGAAACGCTGTCTTAAATTAAGTAACTAGGTTCGAATAATACAAATTCCTTTGTCTTTTCTCTTTAGTTTACAGAATTGCTACACTAAAATCTGGGGTTCGAGTCTCTGCGATGGAAGAAGTGCAAATAGCCCATTGTGTAGCTTTGCGCTAAAACAAAGCAAACTTTTCTGCATCTGTCTCTCTTTTTTATCGTTTTTCACTTGATACTTACCTTTTGCCATGTTTTTATACTTATGTAAATTTTGACTTTTTTTCAGGAAATATTTAAAGGGATTTCCAGAACATCAAAATGAAAAGAGCTTATACGTTAATAACCCTAATAGCGGCGCTGTCATTTTCCTGCCTGTCTGTTGCAAGTGATCACTTTGTTGACAAGGTATGTTCTATTTTTTTTAATCTCTTCGGGAAAACGATTCTAAATAAGTTACGTTTAAAATGACTTTCATAATTCCCAAATAATATCAAAATAATATAGAATTCATTTTTCTTTGGAAAATCGTATTTATCCATTAATATTTACTAATAATTGCTCATTTTCATTGTGATTTTGTTTTACCGTATGTCCAAACTGCATCTTTACATAAAGTTTTAGAAATACAGGATAAAAGAATAAGGAAATATATATACATACAGTGAATATGCTGCATATTGCTGTTTTTTGTGGGCTTTTGTCGGCAATCAATGCTAGAATTATTTTTGTTGTTATGCCTAGTTACGCATCTTTGGGCAAACAGTTTGAGAATAGCTGGTCTGACAATGTCTAATTTCATTTCTTCTGGAAACCAAATCTCACTAGATACAGATGCCCTTTTTTGATTAAACTAGAACTAATTATCTTCCTAGACTTAGATGATCTTTTTCAGATAAATCATCATAGGATTACCTATCTTACTTGTTTGTTTGTTTTGCATTTCACGCAAAGCTACACGAGGGCTATCTGCGCTAGCCGTCCCTAATTTAGCAGTGTAAGACTAGAGGGAAGGCAGCTAGTCATCACCATCCACCGCCAACTCTTGGGCTACTCTATCAACGGATAGTGGGATTGAACACCACATTATAACGCCCCCACAGCTGAAAGGGCGAGCATGTTTGATATGACGGGGATTCGAACCCGCGACCCGCAGATTGCGAGTCGAGCGCCCTAACCACCTGGCCATGCTGGGCCGCCTATCTTATTATAGGACCATGTGCCCTTCTTCAGCTAAATCATCACCGAACTACGTGTCTTGCTATAGGTTCATTAAACATTAAACAATTTTTTTATTCACTTGCAACAAAATACCAATGAAAAACTAGTAGCGATAAACAACCAGGAGTGTGAAAAGGAGATACATAAAAATCAACCAGTTACCTATACGATGTAAATCATCTACAAAATCAATATTAATGATAAACCACCATAGATCTAATTATCATACTAAGTCCAGGTTCCGCTAGTTATTCCTAGAATTATTTATATTTACTGTGTTTATCTAGTTGTGTCACTTCGGGCTACTAATTAGCCCATGTCACTTCTTTTGACAAACGGCCTTGAATATATTTGTTCTTTCTTTGATTAGTCGTGCTTTTCCAAGCAAATTAGTGTAAAATCTATTTTAATTAGGTTATTCAAATGTGCTACTTTGAACAAATGATCTTATAGCTTCTTAATCCATCATCCTACACGTAATAATATAATCATACAAATAGGCTTGTTTACGCAAATAATTTACGTCGCAGAAATTCAACGATAATGATGTTGTTGGAAATGAAACGAGTCTCTTTCTTTATTTGCATCTTCTACTGATTAACAAACATGCATTGTAAATTTGAAAATTTTATTGAGTTGTCAAAGAACGAGAAAAAGTACAAAGGCTCGGATGATAACCTTTGGGCTCGGCATGGCCAGGTGGTTAGGGCGCTCGACTCGCAATCTGCGGGTCGCGGGTTCGAATCACCGTCATACCAAACATGCTCGCCCTTTCAACTGTGGGGGTGTTATAATGTGACCGTCAATCCCACTATTCGTTGGTAAAAGAGTAGCCCAAGAGCTGGCGGTGTGTGGTGATGACTAGCTGCCTTCCCTTTAGTCTTACACTGCTAAATGAGGGACGGCTAGCGCAGATAGCCCTCGTGTAGCTTTGCGCGAAATTCATAACAATCGTCATTGATAAGCTTTTTCTTGATTTATGTCATAAATCTAATGTTCTAGATACTTTACTGTTGACAACACTAGCTAAGGGTAGCCGTTAAGGAAGCAAAAACTGTATAAAGGATAGTCTTACTATATAAGATGATTTATTATGTGTATGTATGTGTGTTAGCATCCATCACACAGAGTTGGCTGGTATAATTACCATACGTTTTGGTATGGTAACTAGAAACTGTCCAACCGGGTATAAGGGTTTATTTTTGTTTATTTAGGATTTTTTGTTTGAGAAGCTGGATAAAACCGTCCTAAAATAGGGCATATTTCAATTTTTTCATAGACTTTGCTTTGAATCTAAAGAAACAAGTACTTAATCAGTTAAGTAAGCAAGGTGTACATATAACATCTAAAGGGGACATTTGGGATTTAATAACAAAAGAAAGAAAGAAGGTGAAGATTATCTAACATCATTCTTTCAGTACATTTTGCTTCCTTAATGGGTACCCTCAACTAGTGTTAGATATTGTCCCCCTTCCTTCTTCACTAGCTGCTAATTGCATACCCTGCTTTCTGGAATATAATAATTCACTCACATAACTGATTAAGTACTCGTGTTTTTAAACTCAAAACCAAAAGTTTATAAAAATGGAAACATGCTCTATTTCAGAGAGATTTTTCCCCCCTTCTCGGGTAAACACCATAAAACAAGATAGTCCATGTACACCGGCGCGCAGTTTCCAGTTGCCATACAAAAAACTCGAGCTAGCCAATTTTGGGTGAGGGATTTTAACACACAAACGCACAGGACCATCTTTATAGTAAGATGTACCAATCGCTTATCTTTATAAGCAGCATTCTGCTTTGCATTTCATCCAACTTAACGCTATGTCAACGACAGACATGAGCGTCTGCAAGGGGGGAGGGGCAAGAATGGGCACTTGCCACCCGGAAAATGAGAAACATATTTCTTTATGTATGCCCTTGATTTAGACTTTCTCTCCCCCCCCCATCCCGAAAAAATGAACAACTATAGATTTATTTCTTACTACAATGAATCAGAATAGAATAAGAGATGGGCACAATTATCCAAATTTAATTCTAAAACGAGAATTGTTTAACATAACACAGTGTTGGGGCGTCCCTCTTCCTCCTCTGTCATTATTACAAATTAATTACTTGAGATTGGAAAACTGTCATTCGATGAATAATTATATTCAGACACGGAACGTTTAAGGAATTGGTCGGACAGGTGTTACCAGATGTGAATGAGTTTATCGTGTTCTAACAATAGCTTCATTAATATTCTACTTTCAGATTTCTTCTTGCGTTGTCATCAACACAGGAAAGCTGGGTGTTGTCTGTACATTTATAGTCTCTATATGGATTAAACTTATAAAGCGTGAGCACTCGTTGCGCATTGTCACGCGAAACGAACGTAGTTCATCTTCACAGTAATCACTGAAAGAAAATAAGGCCTAGTATTAATTATAAAAATAAAGTTCTAGAATTCTAAAAAAAATACTTTCAAGAAGCTACACTTGCTATTTTGATATAACTTACTCATAAATCAAATGAATATATAATATAATGTTGTGAACGTCAGTTGCAAGTCAATATAGATACAATGTTTTGAAGACATGGTTTGAAATCAATACATAATATCGTGTTTCGAAAGTCTGCTTCTAAGCCAACATAGATAACTTGTTTTGAAAGTCTAGTTTCAAGCCAATACATATAATACCATATTTTGAAAGTCTAGTTTCAAACAATACATATAATACCATATTTTAAAAGTCCAATTTCAAGCCAATACATATAATACCATATTTTGAGTCTCGTTCCACGCAACTACATATAATACCATATTTGAAAGTCCAGTTTCAAGCCAATACATATAATACCATATTTTGAAAGTCTAGTTTCAAGTCAATACATATATTACCATACTTTGAAAGTCTCGTTCTAACCTAACATAGAATATTCTGCTTTGAAAGGACAAATTCAAGGCGGTACATTCCTTACCACACATTTCATCATCAAATTAACCAAGTGTATGTAGTTGGTTTCTTTTAAATGTCGCGCAAACCTACACCAGGGATGTCTGCGCTAGCCATATCTAATTTATCACTGATAGACTAGAGCTAGTCACCACCACCACACACCGCTAACTCTTTACTAATGAATATTGGGATTGACCGTCGCATTATTACGCCCCCACGACTAAAAGGGGGGCATGTTTGGTGGGATGGGGATTCGAGCTCATGACCCTCAGATTGCGAGTCAATCACCCATGCTGGGCCCGTAAGTAGTTGATGACTACTGATAAAAATGGACGAATTTATATAGGTTTAGCGACCTCATGAACAGTATGAAACAAGTCTAACATCAAGATCAACCGAATCAAAAAGCTTCCAATCATTAGCTCCTTCCACATCCAATATCAACTGTATCATTTGATTTCTTCTTTAAAAATTTCTTCTTTGTTGTTTTTTCGTGAAATTTTGCCCCAGCGTTTGTAAACAACAACAACGACAAAAAAAAAGTATCTCTACTTCTTCCAAGTACATATTTTTTATCGTGGCAATATTTTACTGAAATGGAAATGTAATGGTGCTGTGGTAGGATCAGCTGAAGGCTATTTGAATTTTATGGATATTTCCTGTGGCAGAATCAGCTGAAGGTTATTTGAAGCTTGTGGATATTTCCTGTGGCAGGATTAGCTGAAGGATATTTGAAGCTTATGGCTATTTCCTGTGGCAGGATCAGCTGAAGGTTATTTGAAGCATATGGATATTCCCTGTGGCAGGATCAGCTGAAGGTTATTTGAAGCTTATGGACATTTCCTGTGGCAAGATCAGCTGAAGGATATTTGAAGCTTATGGCTATTTCCTGTTTTCCTAAGATTAAATACACCAAGAATTCCTGCTGAACGTCTTCTCTTATGAACAGATATGCACTATGAAAGTGTTTTAAAGAAAACAATTAATAGAAAATTAATCGTAATGATTAAAATAATAGTAGAAAAATCTACTCGTATCCCGTATTTTGCATTTTTCTGGTTGTTAAATTAATTTTGAAAATAGACGATAATAGCAATAACGTAATAAAATAAAGCAACAGTGCCTTGCGTTATTTAATACTTTTAATATCTGCATAACACTAAAATCATTCCCTTTCTAAAAAATAAAAAAGAGGAAGGGAATATATCTGACTTGTCATAATTTCGCATTTAAGTCTTAAATAATTCA